TAATAGGCAAATATGATTTATTTAATTATTTTTTTCTAAAATTTTAAAAAGTTATATAAAAATCAGTTCGCATGTAAATAGTAAAAATGTATGGAATTAATTAAATCACTTGTCATTATAAAAGTTGTGTATGTTTTTGTAAAGTCTATTTCCTGTATGCGTAAGATCCGCTTGCTTTACTCCAACAATTCATCCATCATTTATTTTGCAATCATTTGCCTGTGTTACTTAAATGCAAAGAAACCTAAAATTATTCCTTTATTCAAGCACATTCAGCTTCGCTTAGTTCCAAGGGAATTTACAAATTTAATTAGGGCAAGGCAGAGCAGATTTAAGCTAAGCTAATTTTTGTTATAGTTTTAGACAATCAACAAAATAAATATATTAATTATAAATAAATCGAAAAAAGAAATATAGAAAAAAATAAACTAATGACAAGTAAATGGCGTAACTTTTCTGTGAATAAATTATACTAAATAACGTAAAATGCATATTTGAATTAAAATCAAATCTGAATTGTGTATAGCAAAAACTATTAATCAGCTTTGCAAGTCAAGGCCAACGTAAAGAATGCAAACGATTCAAAGCAAAAGACGAATAAAACGAAAGAAAGAGTCAAACAAAATTGAAAATTGAATTTCAAACAAACATTTTTGTAAATTGTTTCACTTGGGAAAATCGACACGCTAAAGCAAAAACAAAAAAAGAAAAACATAGAGAACTAAAAACATAAATATTTAAATAAATAAATAAAAGTAATAATACAACTATAACGAAAACGTACCAACTATGCAAATCGAAGGCGATTCGATAAAGTCAAATACATAGACGTGTATATGCTCTCATTGGTTGTGTTTTTAGGTTATAATCAAACTGGCTTGTGTGTATGTATGTATGGGTGTGTACGTGCACAGCAGCATGCATACACGCAAGCAATCAATCGGTCATTCAATCAATCAGTCAGTCAGTCAGTCAGTCAGTCAGTTAGTCGGTTAGTACACCTCAAATTCATAATTGTACAGTTCATTTGCACATTAAATCATGTTTATGTATGTACTAAATTAATAATATTTAAAATTAAATTTACACAAAAAAAAAAAAAAATTAATTAAAATTATAAGCCGAAAATTATGCTAGCAATGTCAAACATTTTGAATTCGCCTTTTTAAAACGCGTTTAGTTTTAGTTTAACGTTTCAGGTTCTAGCTAAATGTTTAGTGTGCTTCATGTGAAAAACGACAAAATTCCAAAATATACAACTTAGTTATTATGAAAAACGGAAATGTAAAAAAATTACCCAGAATAGTTTTGAGCACTGCAAGCAAAGCGATAACAAATTAAAAAATGTAATTTAAATACTGCCACAATAAATACAAAAGAAAATGCAAAAAAAAAAAAAAGGAAAATAAATGATTAAATATTATTCATAAATCTGCATACATACATATATATTAATATGGTATATATATAAATATATGAATGTTCGGAATGTGTGTATCTCGGCTTCACACACTTCAAACAAAACGACTAGCCAAGTAAGATACTCGTATGATAATTCACACATTGCAAAACGGGGCTCGAAGTTAACATTGCGATTTAAGTCTTCAAACTTAATGCAACCATTAGCTATAATATATTACAACATATTCATTAACTGTATATATCAACGCTAGTCAATACTTACACTTCCACTCACATTTTAACATTCACACACACACACACATACATTCACCCACACCCACACAAACACAGTTATAAGAAACTAGTTAAGCGACATAAAGAAAATAGGCTCAGATTCAAAACTTAGATCAAATTTTTCCACATAATAGCTATATAATTGTCACGAGA